CTCGCAGGATTGTCAAGTGTCCTACAAAACTGAAGCCCGAAGCGCATATAAACATCATTTAATAATTCTGTCCGTACCGCGTAGAAAACACTTCACTTCACCATTAGAAAGATCGACTATTTAACTCGGTTTAGGGAATTCATCGCGGATTACACAGTGATAATATTATGAAGAACGATTTGTAGGATTAACTTCGCTCACACACTAAATCAAAATGGCACCTTTATTAATTATTATTATTACTATCCATCGTAAAAGATGTTTTGCTATCTAGCCGTGTGGACGCATACCTCATTGAACACTGACGAGAGGTGTTAGTACATTTTCTACTCACCTGCACTGTTCATTCTGCAAAAGGCGGTCAGAATGAGGGGCGGGAGGGGTCACAGAACGTATCCGCTGTTGTGAACGGTGTCTTGTAGTTCCGTCTTCACTCTTAACTCGATAGTTGGAACAATAAGACACTCTGTTGCCAGTTCCAGCGATATTTCTTTGTCCCGTTTTTACTGACATCTAGTTCAGCCACTTTGAAACAAAACACGTGCGAGAATCTCATTCAGTCGCGGGATCAACTTGGTTATGTCCACAACTACCTGCCCGTATCATACCTTGTACACTGACTCACTCTCCTCGGTCTATTACGTAGCTGTTATATACCTGGCCAGGTCTTGGTCGAGGAAACTCCTCCCGTTGTCGTCATTATCTTCCGTCATCATAACAATCATCATCATTAGCATCATTATGGTAGTGGTCATCTCTTACACTCTAATGTCACAGTAACAAGGCGATGTATTTACGAGGTTTTTTTATTTATTTATTAAAGTCTGTCTTTCTCTCTCTCGGCAGCATGATAATTCAGTCAAATTGAGTTCGCTGTTTGTGGCTGCAGTAATAGGACTTTGAGTGTGATCTGGGTGACTGGGCAGGTGTTCGTCTAGAGTTCAGATAAAATGACGCTTCTGCGTACAAGATAAAAATAATTTCCACGAGAATTCTAATAAAAAAAAAATCAAAATACTGAAATTTATCGCGGTAGATTTACAAATATGCCTAAGCTTTGATAAATGTTGATGTTCCCCTTGCCGGTTGTAATGTCGCGAGGACTTGCATTTCGATAACAAAAGTTTCAGGAGAACCTTTTGTATCCATCTTTAGAGTTCCCGGACGTCTGTGTCAACCCGTAATATCACACGGCGTTACCGCCCAGAACACCAGCGTCTACATCTTCACAACCTCAAGAACACTCATTTTACCGACAACTTTCTTTCGCAATCGTCTTCGATTCTTTACCGTTCACTAAACAGTAACCCCCTCACTCGTCTCACCCTTTCATCAACACCTCAAGTGATGAATTGAGTTGGGGTTTTCACCGCGGAGATCCGGGTAAGATGCTGGAAGACGTCGTGTGGGATTTGTGGTAGACGGCGTGGCAGTGGGGCAGGTTTGTGTGTCCTAGTATTTCGGGGTTTTCCCAGCCAGTCATCATTCCATTGTGATCCGTTCTCGTCTGTTACCTACCCCCGACAAGCGCGACTGCCCTGAACAAACAGCCCTGTAGGTTATAACTAACGTTGGTGTCCACCTACAAGTCCATGAACCTTTACAACTCGCACGATCTCAAGTGTAAATCGATTTGATCGTCGATTTATCTCCTTAAACGTTACATTACCTTGTACCTGATAAAATGTTTGTGTTTCACAACATAATATTCGTTGCCAGTCATTATCGAGAAGCTGATTGTCGCGTAAGTAGTCTGAAGATTCCCAGCCCGAAGGTTCATCACCGTGTTGACAACATCCCGTCAGTGGACCGTATTCTGAGGCACATGAATCCAATCCACACCCTTACACAAAATTTCCTTATTATTACAATTTTAATATTATCCTCCCTCTCGTAAGTGGTACCTTTCCTTAGGCTAAAATGTTATGTGCATTTCTCAACATCAAATGATGCTGTACAGCATTTAAGTAAACGAAGATTTAAGTGAACGTTGCCATGGAAACGGTAACCGACCTCAGTTGTAATCAGTAGTGGGGTTGATATAATTGTTATGAAACATAAAGTAAAATGAATTTGGTTTCGTTATGTCCGTCAGGCTACAGATAATTGGTTTAATATCTCTAATGCAGACCTAAAACAGTTCAAAATGCAAGTGACTATACGAATCCAGAAACCAATGTTTCGGGCAGTCTTTTCAAAAAAAAATTAACGACGTTTCGGAGCAAAGCCAACATCACTCTATTCCCTTAATTAAATAACTTTTAAAAATCAAAATTAAACTTTTTTTATATTTGCCTATTTAACGACGTTGTTTCAGCTGCTGTGATGCTACTTCGAACGAGGTATGTTTCGATGTTGTTTATGACAAATAGGAAGTAATATTTTAATAAACGGCTGTGACTGATGTGTGACATTTCCCTTGGAGTGACTGGATAAAATCGTAAAAGAAAGGGTAGACTTAGACACATTATCGTTGGTCAGAACTGTTCGGTGCATTGAGCAGAGATTAAAGAATAATATTACACAGCGTTGCTGTTTATTAAGACTGAACGAATGAAGGAATAGGTGGAGCCTAACTCCATTGATGGTTAAAAGAGAAGTATGAAGGACATTTAAAATGTTTATAACGCTTCATTAGTTGAGAGCATATCAAATATTTTGAAATGTAAAGTTATGAATTACATTGTCACTCGGAACTGATTAAGGATTAGCGCAATGTATGAAGATGACGAAATTGTGCGGTGATCGATGTGAAGTGATTAGATGCCTCGAGTTGTAGTCTAATTGCTGGTTTTACGTTTAACCTTCGGACACAAACACAAGAGAGCGCTGATGTAATGCCAGTTTTCCGTAGCACTTTTATTTTATTTGCCTTGGAACGAACGTGTCTCCAGACTTCTCCATCGTTTATGACATACCTCGAAGGCAACTTCTGTCTTTTTCTTCTGTTTATCTGCGTTTCTATTCCTTTCCCGTTTATCTCCTAACACCGAGATCTTAGGTCTGATTCCATCTCGGGGTCTTTGATGTTTGCGAGAGGGAAGACCAAGGTATTCTACTTGACAAGCTGATAGTATACTTGTTCAATTTTATCAGTCTAATCACAATAAAATATTAATATTAAATATTAAAATATTATTACAATTAACATTTAAATATTTAAAATATATTAAAATGATGCTCTTTCTATCGAAATGTTCGATTTACATTAGAGCATCATCTTTTACACTACATGTTTCGGTTCTAAATGAACCATCTTCAGGTGTATAATCCATATAAACTCAAATGTAATATCCTAAGTGCAATCCTTCGTCAGATGTCCATCAAATATCAGAAAGTTTTTTTCTTTCAGACCTATTGTATTTTAATATCGCATTCGAGGTCGTTTCATAATGTATGTCGCGCTCAACGTGATCTTGTGTGGGTGAAACGTTTTGCAGTGGTTTTTGTATCGATCTGTAAATTAAATAATAATATAAAGACTAAATGAATATTAATGAATTAGAGATAGAATAAAATAATATATTGAGAAATTTATATTGAAACATACCATAAATGAAGAGTGGAGGAGGTTCGTCCGTCTGGAAGTATATATTCAACACAATATGACGCAACATTATCATCTCAAGCTGATAATACTTAGGTGGTCAAGAATCTCCCCATTGGTTCATTATCGTGCTTACAACATCCCTATCCTGAGCCAGATGAATTTAATCATTTGTTCCTAAGATCCATCTAAATATTATCCTCGTATGACTTAATTACTGAGTGGTCTATTCCATTCAGGCTGTGCAACCAATCAATGAAAATTTTGCAAGAATTCCTCGTCTCTTCCCTGCCAGTTTTATCGTCCGTGATTTGTTCACCCTAAAAATATTTGGTGCGGAGTACAAATTATGGATCATTATGCTGTATGACAGGCGTTCGGCTTATTATGACGACTGTGGGAGAAATTCTTGAAGACGACCGTGTCTTCTGGGATGTTGCATCTTGTGGTCTGGTGGATGCTGACCGACACATCGTCGTCGAGAGTCTGAAATGTCGCAATTTTTTTTTTCGTGTTGTCCAGGAGAGACCTCGAGTCAGTCCGTGTTCGTCCTTCCACAGGAAACGGAAGTTGACGATGTCGTCACATTTATGTGTCTGCCCCCTACCAGCTGATGACACTCATTTCATCGCCGTTTCATTGGATCAGTGAACGTTTGAAATCGGACAAGCATTCTTCACCTCACCGCTGTGAAAGTTTCTTTTCAACGTAATTTCTTTGTTCCTTGTGTCATTATTGGATTTACCCTGCTTTGCGTCCCTGTGAATTGGTGAATATCACACACGAGTGGAAGCGGTGATATGTGTTTCACTAGAAAAATTTGCGTGTCAATTGTTTATGTGTACAGTTCCTGCCACAATGTAATGGTGAAGTCATTTTTACTACTGATGGTAGGTCTACATACCATTTTATCGAGTGGCTGTATCCTCTAGCGCCAGTTACTTACACGGCCAGAAAGCTAAGTACCTTACTGTTATTTATATAGTTGGCGTGGTCTTCTTGTAGCATTTTTGCTATGTGGCAACGTTTCGGAGGAACGTACGCCTCCATCTTCGGGTCTGAAGTGATCTAAGCGGAAATTTTATATTTTTGTGTTGAATTTCTGTTGTGTTATTTTAAGCACTATAATTAGCGTATTATTTATTTATTTATTTAGTGTTCTGTCTGACGACAGGTCCATATGAACAGGATCCTTCCATCCTTTTCTCGGACTGGGACCTGTTCATATACGTTCTTGGCAGATGATCCAAAAGTGGTTTGCCATAGCCTTCTTCTGTGTGTGAATGGAGTAATTATTGGGATGCCACGGAGAAACCGGGGAAGACCCCGGAGGAAAACTCCGTGTTGCCTAGACCACGGCCTTGCCATATTACCTCAAAACAATGTCTGAATAAGTAATCTTGTCATCAAACGACAGCAACAGTGGAGTAAATGACAGAAACACGCTCTAAATTCCCCATGCCTAGGTTATCAGATATTAAGATATCTGCTCTTCAGGTCATCTGTTCCAGTCTGAGAAATATAATCAGACGACATCAAGCGCTCATAGATAATACTTCTCCGAATAAGTGCAAGTACAAAAACGCTTAGGTGTGGTGCAAAAAATTGCAAACAAAAGCGTATTACATAAAATGAATTGATATATTTTTTGTTGACACCGTCTTAGATGTGGTTATAATGTGCAAAACTACAGAGAGAGAAAACAAACAAAAATATAGTTCTCAATAAAGCCAATGCGTGGCACTTACTTGGGCCTGGGACTGTACTTGCCAAATTCGACGGTATATTTTTTTTCCGTCCGTGTTTGTTGAACGACGCGGATGTATTGATGTCAACTGTCTTTTTGCTCAGCGTACTGACAAATGAGGCAGAATACTGAGCCAGCCTGGTCGTAACTTAAGGCTTCCACCGTTACAGGACACCGAAGAACACTGAAAAACATCGATGCTGTGTCCAACCAGAAATCCCCCGTGTCTGAATGGTCATTTGGGCCATCGGAATTCGTAGGTAATTAATTCGCTTCCTTGAGGTTTGTACCGTCGAGTAATTGGACGAGATTTGGTGGACCTGACGTGAACTTCAATGTATTCTTGATGTTACAAGCTTCACTCCACTCCTAGTTCATCATTGGGCGTGAAGGATGAGTAATAATTATGATAAAATCAGCGATCGCAAATATCTAAATATTTTAAACTCTTAAAGAACAGTGGTAACTATATGTACCACCTGCTTCAACAGTCAGTAACTCTGTATTTTATATGATTCTAAGTGTAAACAGTGATTACTTCTTCAAATAGAATCAACATAATGATCTTTATAATGACAGTGGTTGGTTTTCTTTGCCGTACGGACTGGATTGTTAAATGTTTTATGAAAGGGCTTCGTCTTCAGAGGGTTAAAACTGAGTTACTGGCCCTAAAAATTTAGTACAGGCCTGAGTGAATACAGAGTGCCCAAAAGTAGCCCCATGGCACAATTCACACTACGCTTTTCGTATGTTGATGTTGTATGAGTCCGGAAATGTCAACACACGTTGCAACAACATGAACATGGTGGGGAAATACAGCAGCGAAACACTTGCGTAAGGCGTTCCTGAAACTGCACTGATCTCCGTGGTTGAGAGACGCATGAAATTCGTCCCAGCTGCAACAGTTAACGGAAGTTCTCTGAAATCGCGGTAGCCTTCAATCGAGACTTTGCGGTGTGTAATTGATGGTCCTGGTGGCTGGATTTCCCGGTGACCACGCGAGGTTCTGGGCCACCGATGTCAATCTCTCTCCCCCCCCCTCTCTCTCTCTCTCTCTCTCTCTCTCTCTCTCACGGGATTCACGAGTTGGGAGGTGTAATTTATCTTGCGACCATGTCTCTGCGTGTCTTTACGTTACCACATGTCTCAGCACTAAGTACTGTGCGTTTCTTTAGACCATATGTTATTGTGCAGTACAATTTACAGGAATAATACTGAATCAGAAAGAATTACCTTTTTTTTAAACGACGTTTTATATTTTGTTTACTAGACGATGGATAATATCCAAGAAAATTTTTATTCAATTGACTCTTCACCATCGTCAAGAAGTTTTAGATTTGATACTCAATGATACGTGTCTGTTATGTCAAGTGGGAGAAATGAGTGATTGGGGAATTATAAATAAATGGATCGTGGGGAAATAGGGTTGGAAAGTGTGGATTGGTTTCATCTGGCTCAAAATAGGGTCCAGTGAATGCGGTAATGAACCATTGGGTATGATCGAGACCAGATAATTTCTTTACCAGCTGACAGCACTGTCGGCGATTATTTCCTTAAACAGCGTTAACCATTTGATCTTTCTGATGGTGAAGTGAAGTGTTTTCTTCGCGGTACGGACTGAATTCTTAAATA